TGGGGGCTTTCAGGGAAGGTGGGGTGATGTCAAATTCTCACACTGCTCCCCAGTCCCTGCTGTCTCCTTTCCTCTACATTCACCCCTTAAGCTGCCTGTGGCTAATTCTTCCTGGTCTCTTTAAGAGCTGCCTGGGAACTGGGGCACTGGAGGGGGCTGGCAGGCCCTCTCCCCTACCATGCTGGCCCTTGCTCCGCCTCGCCTCTGCCTGGGTACAGACTCTGCTGGAAGTCTCGGTCGCCTGGGCTAGGGTCTGTGTTGCAGGGGTAAGGTGTAAAGTGGTCCTCGGGAGGGGACCGTGATCCTGGGGGTGGGGGTGAGTGCCACAGCATGGAGTGTCTGTGTGCCAGCCAGGGTGCTATGGTGGGGGTGTGAAGTCTGTCTCTCCTACCTCTTTGGGGGGCAGGGCATCCCCAGGAGCCACCGTTTGCCTGGGGCTCTTACCTCCCTCCCCACCTCCTTTCCCCCAGGGACTTTCATTTGCTAAAGTCCACCAGCCACTCACTGTCCTTCCCACCATCAACAATAGCGGCTACTCCATCTTCCCACAGGTAGGAAAACCAAGGCTAAAGAATCAGAGGGAACTGCATTCATAGCAGTAGAGGCAATGGCTTTTTCCTTTCCTTGTCAACAAGAGAGCCAGGTGTCCGACCAGTCCTTTGGTTCCCTCTCCAACCACGGCCACACAGGAACTAAAAGCCTTGTTCTCTTGTTTGGAAGCTTAGCTCCAGGGTAAGGTGGGGAGGAATGGGACACTGTGGAGCTGAGGAGACCTGTAGGCACCCTTTTTCTTGGATCGCTATGGGAGGCAGTCCCTTCCAATCCTGCCACAGAGACAGGGCTCACTTCCCTCAGAGCTAAGGTGGTGGCAGCAGAGTCAAGGACCTCGATGGGGATGGGGCCTTCTATGCCTCAACCTCTGCTTCCCGCCCTGACTCCAGTTCCTCAAGTGCCTGGGGCTAGTACCTGCAGCCCTGCGGACACAGGCCCAAAGTAGTATGGCAGGGACTGTGACAGTGGAGCTTAGAAAGAGTGATTGACCCTGCTGAGTCCACTTCTACCTTCAGCACAGGGCATCTCCTCCTCAGCAGTCCCACCCTGAAAGGCAATGTTTACCCATCTCAACCTAGACCCACAAGGGAACCAGCACTGGCTGGTGAAGCCTCCTGCCCTGCCTGGCCCCTCCAGGGCACTCACTTCCCCTTTCCTAAAAACACTATGACGTTTGCAGCAGGGCCAGGCTGCTCGCAGGTGGCCCCAAGAGCCCTTCTTTTATTTACGTGAGCATGAGAGGGCAAGGGGCCAATCTGGGATCACATAGCAAGTTATAGACAGTCAGGCTGGCACCCAAAGACCCTGCTTCCTAGGTCCATGGTGCCCAGTGGGCAGTCCTGAGCTCCTAGAAAGCCAACCGGCAGGGTCTTTCCTAGTTCCTCCCTTGGTTGAAGAAGTTGAGGTTCTGCAGAGACAGGAGTTCTGAAGACAGGGTTACTCAGGAGCAGGGCATCTTCTAAAGCTTCTCTGCTTGCTTTTGCAAATGAGAAAGAGTCAGGAGGAGCGCTGTGTCTAATCTTTTGTTCCCACTTACCGGTAGACTTTTGGGAAGTTCTTTCTGGTCTGCCTCTTATCCACCTCTTACAGCACAGACCTTGGGGTTCAGGGGGTGTGAGCTGATGACCTCTGGAGACACCATTTCCTTTGTAAGGCTGTAAGGTGGCTCAGGAAGGGAGTGCAGTACCTGGACCTGAGAAGAGTAGCCCCTCCCTCAGAGGTCAGGGTATCAGTGAAGATGGTCTCTTAAGCATCTTGGTGGAGACCCCTGCTTCCATATATGTCTTTGTATACATCTTCATTGGTAAACTCCAGTTGTCGGTGACTGGCTAGCATCCAGGTGCATCTTCCTGATGCATTCACAGTACTTCAGAAGGCTGGAAATGAAGAGAAACTGGCCATGAAGGAGATTGCCTCAGTGGTCTCCTGAGCCCAATACCTGCACACTGGTGACGGCTGAGGGTGACAAAGGAGCTGAGTAAGGACCCCGGGGGTTAGAGGATGCCCCCCCCCCGGCCACATCTGGAGTCCTGCCTACACATATGAGAATCCAGAAGCCACAGGAGTGGGGCACAGCGGGACAGGAGAGGAGGAGGAAGAATATGGGGAGATTCTAGTCCCTCCCACTTAGAGATGCGGTCGCCATGGTGACTAAGGACCAGTGAGGTGGGATGGGGTTGGGGATGGGGGTGGGAGGGTGGCGGGAAGGAGGCACCGGGAGACCGGAAAGCCAAGCCGCCTGGCATTCCAGGGGGAGGGAAGCTTAAAGGCATCCCCAGCTCCAGGTAAGAAGCGGGAGAGCCGACAGACGGTGCGGAACAGAGGGGCGGGCCATTGTCTGGCGCTGACTCTGCCCTGAGGAGGGGAAAACCGAGAAGTCAGACCATTGTGTGTAATGCTCAATGCAGCTTCCAGCACTAGCCAGACTGGGAGAGGGAACCCAAGAGGCTCTGGGTAAGGGGTCAGGCAGATGGAGAGGGGAGGGTGGTAAGAATGCTGGAGACCTGCAGGGACAGGAAGAGGTGGGGGGTGCTGATGGGGACATGGACTGGGGACATCCTTAGTGCCTTCACACGTGCACACGCGCACACACACAGAGAGAGAGAGAGGGAAAGAGAGAGGGCACTCAATCCATGTAAGTTGATTTGAGTGACTATAATCATAAGAGAAGGTCAGGGCCATGGGTTGAAAGAGGAGCAGGAAAAGGATATCCCCCCCAAAACCCTGCTCTCCTGAGGGCTGCCCCTAAAGCTAGGAAGAAAAGGAGGTTGGGAAAACTGGACCTGTCAGTCACTGGTGAAGCCTGGGGTGGTTTCTCTCAGAGCAAGGCAGGGGTAGGGTGAGGAATCAACCCTCCAGCATCCCTCCCTCCTCACTCCTGCGTCCATTACTTTTGTTGATCAAGTCCCACGGGAAGGAGCTACTCTCCTTTACGGTCTAGGGGTTGTGGGAGGACTTGGGGGGACTGGAATTTGATGGGGGAGCTTAAGTTTAATGCTGTTATTTCCGGGGGCTGACATACTCCTGGGGATTCCCCAGACTGAGCTCCAGGCCTTATGGGGAATTGAGTTGCTGGAACAGGAATGGGGCAGTGAAGATGGTGTTTCCCTCTACAGACCGCCTGCTGCCTGACGCCAGCCCTGGCTCAGATGCTTCCGGTCACTGGCCTTGGTTTCCTCATTTGTGTAGCAAGGGAGGGTGTGTGGCTTCCCAGCTCGGAGCTTCCTGGGAGCAAAACCTAATACATAATTTGTGGGGCCCAGCATGAATGAAAATGTAGTCCTCTTTAAAAGAAAATGTTGAGGACTTTCAAGACAGCAGCAGCCAAGTGAGCCTCCACGCTTACTAAGCACAGCCTCTCCTGAGGACAGGGCCCTAAGTGACTGAAACTGTGAGATGTAAGGGTGAGGGGTGCTGTTGGGGTGAGGGGTGCTGTTGGGGTCCTGTGCCTTTCTCTCACCTGCCTCTGCTCTCGGCTTGGCCTGAAAGGCGCTGTGAGGAGAGAGTGGGTGGCACCGCGGGACAGAAAGTACCTGGGCTGAGATCAGATGGCCTCTCTTAGAGGAGGTTTCTCTTCCTTCTGAGTCAGGAATCATCCCAGAGTGACTGGAGGGATCCGAGAGTCTCTGACCCTCCCACCCTGATGCTTGCTTACTCCATCCATTGATCAGCTCTGAGCTAAGTTAACCCACTAGGGCAGGAGGTGGGAGCCAGCCGACAGCGTCCCCGACCTGCGAAAGCTGGGAGGCCTGCAGCCCCCCCCCCACAACGCCTCACCCTGACCAGTGGGAGCAGGAGGGCACTGGGACTTGTGGGGAGCAGAGATAGGAAGAGCACTGGAGCCACTTCTCTGGCTCCCCCATCACGGCTCCTCCCTATGACCCAGATAGGCCAGTCTGTCCCCAAAGAGAGGCCCTGGGTGGTGGCTTCCCAAGCCTGAGCTGGAGGTCAAGGAGACTCAGAAGACGATGTCAGGAGAGCAGAGAGATTGGCACAGTCGTGACAATCAGCGTCAGGGTTTGGGGGAGTCTTAGTAAGTTTTGACAGAACTAGTCCTCACGAGTGGTCTGTGTGAGCCCAGCTCATGAACCATGGCAGAGATGGGAGCAGAAGGAGACACTCTCTCCACCAAGGAATGCTTCTACCCGGAGCTGTAACTGGAAGGGTAGAGGTTGTCCTTCAGGAAGGACCATCCTGGCAGCGAGCAATGTGTTTAGGATGGAGATGGCATACTTACTGGAGACAGAGCAGCCCGGGTCATTGTGCCCATCAACTTGAAGTCAGCTGACCTGGGTGAGTGGGCGGGAGCCCAACCATTCTTTATTGGCCTCGGAACCCTTGGTGCCTCATTAACCCTGCATTACGAGGCCTACTCCGAAGCCTCTGGGGAGGAAGACCAGCCACCATTCCAGCTGGGCGTCTCATGTATCCTATGAGGCATGAGCTCAAATGGGAAATTCTCGAAGTTCCCATTGGCCTGATGCTGCCCTAAGTGTGGGGAGATCGGTCTGCCGGTGGGCGTCCTCAGCAAAGTCATAGATACAGACCTAAGATGGGTTTGTTGTTGTTGCTGCTATCTGTTTGTTTGTTCTGAGGCAGGGTTTCTCTGTGTAGCCCTGGTTGTCCTGGAACTCACAGAGATCCACCTGTCTCTGCTTCCTGAGTGCTGGAATTAAAGGCGGGCGCCACCATGCCTGGCTTTAATGTTTTACCTTTTGAGGATGTGGGAGGTGCGAAGGTTGGGCCCCTATAGCTATTTCTCAGTAGGTGGCAGCAAGGGACCCACTCCAGGGTCAGTGAAAAAGAGGAATATGAAAGACGGTGTCACACTGAGTGTGTTGAGCAAGAGGAGACCGCAGCTCAGGCTGTCTAGAGCGAAAGTGATAGACAGGGGCATCACTGAAATGGCCTAGGAGAAACTCTTAATTTCTTGATAGACTAAGCTGAGGGAGGAGGTGTGTCTCCTACTGAGCCTGTGAGCCTCTCCCTCCTCCAGTCTCCCCGCCCTGATCCACCCTTCATCAACTTCCGCCCAAGCCAGGATCTGTCACAACTCGAGGTAGAAATTCAGGTTTCCCTGGCCTGGAACCCACAGCGGCTGGCTCTCGCAGGATGGGTGCCTGGAGGGCCGCACTCCCATTCCAGCCAGGTTGAGCCTTCTTTATCTGCCTGAACCCCCTCCTTTGCCTTGGATGCTTCAGGGTTTGAACTCAGGACTTCTCAGTGTGACTGGCTCAAGGGTATGTGGGATGAGGTGGGCAGCTTGCTTTCGGTGGTTATGGGGGAGGTTGATGCCGCGCTCCAAGGAGCCAGACAGCAGAGGCACAGAGACAAGGGGGCTATAGAGTTTGGGAGTCTGCCAGGGACTCCTGCCCGGGCCACTCCCAGGAAATGCAGATGGCCAAGCTGGCAGATAAACTGGCATGCCCCTGCCCCCGAAGAAGAAGGCTAGATGGCCCGATAAAACAAAAGTAGAGCCCCTGGGGGCTAGGGAAAGAGTGGGCTGCTTGCCTGGGTTGGGATGAGTAGCAGGCAAAATGTGTAGCCACAGCTGAGTGACAGGCCAGCCTGGGGATCTACCCTTTTCATACAGGAACTTTATGCCCTTCATCCAGGGCCAGGAATGATCAGGGCTCTGGACCATGGGGGCAGGAGATGCTAAGGGGCAAGAGTGGAAAGGTTCTCCTGGGTGAGAAAAGAGAGGTGGGTTTTAATCAGAGGAGAGCAGAGGCACAGCATGGGCCACGCCAGGACCCCTATCTAGAGGAGGGAGAGGGGGAGGCAGCAGTGAGGCTGTGAGTGGAATGGAAGCGAGACTCTGAGGGCCCTTCCAGAGAGGAACTTCTACCCCCTGGGGCTCTCCTATTGGCCCTCAGAAAGGGTGTGGTAAGCACTGCTCACCCAGAAAGTGCCTGTTTCCTCAGAGCCATCTGGTGACAGTCTCTGTCTGACCATGGCCCTACCATCCCCGGGCCAGGACCCCTGGAGTCTCCTGGGTGGTTTTTTCTGCCAACTGCTCCTGCTGCTGTCACTGCCACCTGCTACTGGGACTGGTGGGCAGGGGCCCGTGCCCAGAGTCAAATATCATGCAGGTAAGTGCCTGGTAACTGGGAGGGATGGATGTTAGTGTAATAAAGATGCAGGGGTCAAGAAGGGGGAAGGGACTGTCAGAGGGAGGGCAATGGAATGGAGAAACAGAGATACCAGGGAGCAGTGGAGGGCCCGGGAGAAGGGAAGACATGGCTGCTGTTACCCTTCTCCTGCTAAGCCAGTGATTTTTCTTCCTCTTCTCAAGTGTTCCTATCACCAAGCAAGACCTTAAATTCCTGACTGCTTTCACAGCTGCAGGTGTCCCAAAGCTAAAGCCCATGCTAGATTGTCTATGGAACTGGTCATTCCAAGCCAACTGCAGAGATCACACAAGGCCAGGTTGTGTCCATAGGAGAGGCACCAAGAGAAGGCGCCAGCTCATCTGGGGGTGTGCTGGAGCATGGCACCCAGCCTCAGTGGTTTCCTGCTGGGGTTGTGGGGCTCTGAACCCTCTTATTCTAGGAAATACCCCAAGGGAAGTGTTACACACACACCACACACACACACTCCATACACCATCCGTGTAGAAATTAGGCAGTTTTGTTCACAGCTTAGCAGCCTTCTGAGGCAGAACAGCAAAGGTGATGAAGTGTCGGTGGAAAGAGGGGCATCCTTAGGTGGATGGGAGTGCAGACACAAGCATGACTGGGCTTCAAGGGGAAGCGGGTGAGACCTCGGGATGAGGAGAGCACAGAGTTCAGGGCAGGGCAGCTCATGAGTACCTTTCCCACTTGGTCTTCTGACTCCTCCTGGTCCTAAGAGTCCTTGATACCAACATGGTAAGAAACAGGCTGTGCACATCTAACCAAATGTGCCAATGAGGGGGGGCTAAAGTGCTCACTCCTCCTGACTGGTGTGCCAGTTCAGTGGGGGCACACACGTGCAAGGGCACACACGCTACCACAGTAGGCAGTGAACGGGCCCTAGTAACCAACATACTTAGCCTGTCCCAGCGGCATTGAGGCATGCCCACACTGCTGGGCTCAAGAGGGGGAGGATGAGGCCTTTCTAATCACAGTATTGCTGGTGGTGGGAGAGTCCTGTGACAGAGCAAGAGAAGGGAACAGGGGAAGTGGAGGTGGCGGGGGTCCGTAACCATGACTTGTCAAGCAGACAGCAGTCACCTCTGCTGCTTGTGACTGAGAACCCTTTCCTGTGTCTACCTGTCAGCTGTTATCCCAGCTTGCCTCACTGCAGCCCCGCCAAGCCTGAGAATGCATTGTCTGACTTCACTTCATTTCCTGTCTGTGTCTTGAGCAGGCTTCCCCACTACCCCCTAGCCCCAGGCTGTCACTACCATGTCCTTGGCACTCTTCTCTTCTGGGGACTCAACTCACAAAGCACAGGTGTCTGCTGTTGGAGGATCAGGGAAAAGGGGGCTGTGGGCATAAGAGCTGGCCCAGCTACTGAGGCCTGCCACCCCTCTCCCACCTTTTCCTCAGGAATGGGCTGCTGTTCACAGTTCCTCCCATTCTCTTCTTATCACTGCCCCCCAACAGGAGATGGGCACAGAGCCCTCAGCTTCTTCCACCAAAAAGGCCTCCGAGACTTTGACACGCTGCTCCTGAGTGCCGATGGCAACACTCTCTATGTGGGAGCTCGAGAGGCTGTCCTGGCCCTGAATATCCAGAGCCCAGGAATCCCCCAGCTGAGGAACATGGTGAGGAGCCTGGAGCCCAGGGTCTGACTGGAAGTAAGGACAGCTCTGCTCGCTGTGAAGAGCCACCTGCCACTCCCTGACTCAGCAGTGACAGGATGGAGATGCCACTGTGGTCTCGCTGTTTACCGAGTCCCTGAATACCGATTGAGTAACATTTGCTGAAATGGCTGATACGGAAATCACTGGCAAAAGAGAAAAACATTGACTCAAACCAGTGACTCAGATAATTTGCTGTACACCTACCTACTAGAGAAGTCCTTGATTCTTGAGCTATCATCACCCCAATGATAGCAAGACAAGGGAAAGAGGGAGGGGAGGAAGGTCTACGGCGTGGATTCTTCCTGGTGTGTGGTCTCTTGGCCATCTGCACATATGGGGTATGTTAACCTTGCAGAGTCCTGGGCTAGGAATGTAGTTCTGTGGCAGAGCACCTTGTCTGGAGTCCGGAAGGCTCTGAGTTTGATATCTGTACCCCTATGTGGCATCTCCAATGGGTGGCTCAGGAGCCAACAGTTTGCCCCAGGAAACGTGTGGGTTATATATAACCACTGCTGTGTATGCCAGGCACTTATGCATGCCATCTAACTGCAACTGCCAGCAGCCTGTGACCTGAGCCAGAGTGCATAGTCGGTTGGTTGCTGAGTCTAGATTTGAACTCTGATCTGTCCGGTTCAGCCACAGAGCCATGTCCTGGAAACTATAGTTCCAATCCAATTGGCGTTGTGACTGCCTACCAGAACACCACTACCTACCTTACTGGTGTTTTTACACCAGAGCCGGAGAGGGGATGGTGGCTTATAGAAAAACCAAAGACCTACTTCCTTTCATCTGCTCCTCGTAACTCTCCACTTTAGATACCCTGGCCAGCTAGTGAGAGAAAAAAGAATGACTGTGCCTTTAAGAAGAAAAGCAGTGAGGTGAGTGAAGTGCCCATGACCCCTGCACGTGGGGGAGCAGCTTGTAAGACCCGACCCCACTCCCACCCATCCCCTCCCTCCACCCACTCCCCCACCTATCCCCTCCCCCACATCCCAACNCCCCCCCCCCCCACATCCCAACCCCCCCCACCCCCCACCCCCCCACCCCGGAGGAGTTTGGGGTGAGAGGCTAGGCAACTTGGTTTCTCTGCTTCCCCTAGACACAGTGTTTCAACTTCATCCGTGTCCTGGTCTCTTTCAACACCACCCACCTCTATGCCTGTGGGACCTTTGCCTTCAGCCCTGCTTGTGCCTTCATTGTGAGTTCTCTGAGCCCTCTTGTTCACAGGCTCCCAGCACCTCTCTCACACCCACCCCGCCCCATAGCTTTGGGAATCTCTGGTCCCTGAGGACCCTCGTAAGATTCCTGGCCCCAGACCAATGTCCCTCTCTGTGCCTTGTGGTCCTCATCTATGAGATGTGCGACCCTGGCATTCCGGGCTCCCAGCCTCTTCCCCCCTCTAGGAGCTCCAAGATTCCCACCTGTTGCCCATCCTAAAGGACAAGGTCATGGACGGGAAGGGTCAAAGCCCCTTTGACCCGGCTCACAAGCACACAGCTGTCTTGGTCGGTGAGTACCAGGGTTCCCAGACCAGGCTAAAACTTGCCTTTTCTAGTCACTGAGAAAAGCAAGGCACGACAGTTGTCCAAAGAAAAGGACGGAGGGAACCAGGAGCTTCGGAGGGCAAGATCATGGGAGAGCCAGAAAACCCAGCCATTAGCCCCTCCTGAAACCGTCCCCAAAGGGGTGCAAGGAAATCCATGTGGGGAGATAGCAGGTCTGGTTGTCTCCAGGTGAGCCCTGAGGTTCAGCCACTTGTTTATCTGTACACGGGTGAAGGCCTCTCCTAACGCTTTCCACATTGAGCCAGGTACTGAGGGGCTACAAGGAAGTCATGTGTCTCTGCATGGACACGAAGCATCTCAGACTTCCCACCCTGGCTTCCTACAGGAGATGGTCATTGTCTTTTGAGAAGACTTAAAAGATATGCAGGGACCCAGGGTGTGGGAGCACAAGACAGTCATATTCTGGGATTGGTGTTTAAGGAAGGACCAGAAAAAGGCTCCACAGGCCACTGTGGCTAGAGCAATCTAAGGGTGGCCTGCTGTGTGTGTGGAGACAGTATGAGCTGGGCTTCGGGGTTCTGCAGAGGGTACAGGATAGGGAGGGCAGGCAGCCTCCCATACACCTGCTTCTCCTTGCTCTCCCTGGTTCTAGATGGGATGCTCTACTCGGGCACCATGAACAACTTCCTGGGCAGTGAGCCCATCCTGATGCGGACACTGGGTTCACAGCCTGTTCTCAAGACTGACATCTTCCTCCGCTGGCTGCACCGTAAGGCCCTGACTCCAGTCAGCATGAGCTTGGGACCACTTCCTGCCCCTGGGTCTGCAATTGGCTTTAATTCATTCAGCTCTCTTTGGGAAAATGAATCAAAAAAGTACATACAGCTGGCTGGGGTGATGCACGACTTTAATTCCAACATTTGGGAGGCAGAGGCAGCAGCAGGTGGACCCTGAAGGGCGGCCAGCCAAAGCTATAGTGAGATACCATCTCTAAAAGAAAGAGTACAAATGGGAGGCGGCCTGTCCTGGCCTCAGAACCCACCTAATGTGTCCCTGAGGGGACCTGAGCATCCTAAGCCCCCTAAGTTCAGTCCCCCTAAGCCTGTCTGTCCTGCCCCCACAGCGGATGCCTCCTTCGTGGCAGCCATCCCATCTACCCAGGTCGTCTATTTCTTCTTCGAGGAGACAGCCAGCGAATTTGACTTCTTTGAGGAGCTGTACATATCCCGAGTGGCTAGAGTCTGCAAGGTCTGCCCTTGGTCTGGTGGAGGGCTGGCTGCCAGGGAGCCAATGGGAGTGGGGAGAGGCGGGTGCAGGGCCACGCGTGACTCCATTGGTTCCCCTAGAACGATGTGGGTGGTGAAAAGCTGCTGCAGAAGAAGTGGACCACCTTCCTGAAGGCCCAGCTGCTCTGCACCCAGCCAGGCCAGCTGCCATTCAACATCATCCGCCACGCGGTCCTGCTACCCGCCGATTCTTCCTCCGTTTCCCGCATCTATGCAGTCTTTACCTCCCAGTGGTAAGCAGTGGGGCAGGGCAAAGGGGGCTCCGGGATCCCAGTGAGGCAGGACCTGGAGAAAGTCTACTGTATACACTGAACTTTACACAGGAAAGCTTTGAGCCTTCCAAAGGTGTTCAGCTGCAGGGATCCTGCTGTCTTTTATGCACCAGAGAAACAAGCACAGAGACTAGCTTTACTTGGCTACTTCCAAAAAGGATGAAAGTTTACAGAAGGCAGACACTAAAAATCAGCAATATACCCAGCGTGGTGGTGCATGCCTGTAATCTCAGCACTTGGAAAGTAGAGGCAAGAGGATAAGGGAATTGGAGGCCAGTCTGGTCTACACGGAGAGAGCTTGTCTCCAACAAAACATGGATGAAAAGGCTAGACTGGGTGGTGAGAGAGGAGGTTCAGGACAAGGACTGATGTCCCGAAATAAGCAAGGACTGCAGTGCGCTCAGCCGGTGGAGGGCTTGTCTAGCGTGTACAAAGACCTGTACTTTGATGGTTTACTCTTTTGGCTTTTTGGGGGGCCCGCCACCCAGCTCCAAATAAATCACACATGGAGGCTTATTCTTAGGAACGCCCAGCCTTGGCTTGGCTTGTTTCTTGCCAGCTTTTCTTAACTTTACATTATCCTGACTACCTTTTGCCTCTGGGCTTTTTCCTTTTCTTACTTCTGTATATCTTACTTTCGCTCTTACTGGCCCCTGATGTCTTTCCTTGTTCTCTCCCAGCTCCTCCTGCTCCTCAGTTCTCTCGTGTATCCTCTCTGCCTGCCAGCCCCGGCTAACCTTGCTCCTTCCTTGCTATTGACCATTCAGCTCTTCATTAGACCCTCAGGTGTTTTAGAGGGGCAAAAAAAATCACAACTTCACAGAGTTAAGCAAATGCAGCATAAACAACAGCAACATACCTTAAAATAATAATCCCCAACAAAGCCCTGATCCCCGGATCTACGTAAGTCAGAGGTAGTGGGACAAGAGACTCTGGGGAAGAAAAGGCTCTCGAGAGGATCAGACATTCAAGGTCGTTCTCAGGTGCCTTGTGAGAAGAGCCTTGACTACTGGAGACTGTCTCAAAAACAAACGAACAAACAAAAACCCCATCAATTAGGTAAAGAAGTGGGAATAGAGGGAAATGGCCCTCAGGTAGCACAGATTCTGTGGCCATACTAGGAACAAGTTTTTCCTCAACTTCTCAGTGGCCAGAGCCGAAAGGGAGGCTATGACTGAAATAAACAGGAAGGCCTTGCTCACAGACCAACAAAGGTTAACTGATTTGCCAAACCACAACCACGGTCTGCCATCACCATATTTAGGCACCTGCCAACCATGTGCCAGGAAGCAAAGGTTTCTGGTGTGCAGTGTCTGGTGAAGTGAGGTGCAGAGCTGAGAGCCCAGTGTGTTTACAGAGTGAGTGGCCTGTGGTTCAGCACAGTTCAGTTCACAGAAGAACTAGCAAAGCTGTGGCTCATTCTCTGAGGACAAGAATCTAGGGACCAAAGAAGGCTCCGTGTGAATCCAGCCTGCAGCAGGTTCTACCACTCTTCCTGTGGACACAGCCTGGGCAAGACAGGCAGGGGCCACCCCAGGGCCTATGCCCCAATTAATCCTCATTAGAAACAGTCGTGTTTCAGATCCTGTGATGGGCTTCCAGCCAGGTCTTAACCCAGAGCCAGGGAACCCTCCAGCACTTGGCCTGTCTCCTGCCCTCCGGGCCTGCTGCGATCCCACTGAGCTCTCCGGGGCAAGGGGCTGGAGGGCAGGGATTGTAAAGGGGAGGAACCCGTACTGAGTGCTCTCTCGGCTCCCGCTATCTTCAGGCAGGTTGGTGGGACCAGGAGCTCGGCTGTCTGCGCCTTCTCTCTCACCGACATCGAGCGTGTCTTTAAAGGAAAGTTCAAGGAGCTGAACAAGGAAACTTCCCGATGGACCACTTACAGGGGCCCGGAGGCCAACCCGAGGCCAGGCAGCGTGAGTACCGCCTACCTGTCCCAGAGCCTCCCAGAATGCGTGTGAAAGCACCACCTTGGCATGGTAAATGCCCACACACCAGCCCATGTGCTGCAGATGTCCCATGCTGCCCTACGTCCAGAATGGTCGCCAGGGCCACCTCTTTCCAGTGCTAAGTGAACACCAGATGCCCGGCTGTTTCGCCGAGGAATTAAGAGCACATGGGTTGGGCGCTAAGCACAGTCCTAGGCAGCTTCGCCCTTGTTTTGTTGTTTCCAGATTGGGTCTCACGTAACCCAGGCTGGCCTTGAACTCCTGATTACCCTGCCTCCACCTCCCAAATGCCTAGATGTCGGGCATGTGCCTCCATGCCCAGCTTTTCACCTGCATATTTTCCTGTAACTTTTTTAAACTCTGAATTCTGTGTGTGCATATTCAAGAGTCAAACATGCTGAGTGCTTGGTGTACGCCTGTAGTCTCTGCACTCCAGTGGAAGCTGAGGCAGGGCGATCAAGGCAAACTCAGGCTATACAGCAGGATTCTATCCCAAAGATGACAGAATGGGTAAATAAATACAAAATCAAGGCTATGCAGTGGTGGCACACACCTTTAATCCCAGCACTCGGGAGGCAGAGGCAGGCGGATTTCTGTGAGTTCGAGACCAGCCTGGTCTACAGTGCTAGTTCCAGGACAGGCTCCAAAGCCACAGAGAGACCCTATCTCGAAAAACCAAAAAAATCAAGGAAATCTACCGGACTGGTACTGAACCTCCAGTCCCATCCCGGGCTGGCCTCAGACTCACCTCCCACCTCAAGATCAAGTGCCCTGCCCCTCCCCGCTTCCTTCCTGCTCAGCTGCTGTGACACAACAGTGGTAGCTTGAAATCATTTTAAAGGCCGTGTGCATCTAGGAAATTAGCAAACTCTGCAAATCAGCTTTCCAGTCCCTTCCTTCCCAATGTCCTGGTCCTAACCTCTGTGCGAGCTTTGGAAGATGAGAATCAAACCCAGGGCCTCGCACACCGTGTGCCCGGCAGGGGCTCTAATGTTGAGCCACATTCACCACCCCTAGTAATTTTTTAAAAAATATTTATTTATTTATTTATTTATTTATTTATTTATTTATTTATTTATTTATTTATTATGTATACAGTATTCTCAGTACTCTGTCTGCAGGCCAGAAGAGGGCACCAGATCTCATTACAGATGGTTGTGAGCCACCATGTGGTTGCTGGGAATTGAACTCAGGACCTTTGGAAGAGCAGGCAATGCTCTTAACCTCTGAGCCACTCCAGCTCCCCCCTAGTAATTTTTTTAATTATTTTTTTTTTGAGACAGGGTTTCTCTGTAGCTTTTTTCAGTTAATTATTTATTTGTTGTCTGTGAATGCGTGTGTGGGTGCATGTGTGCCATGGCGTATGTTTAAAGATTAGGGGACAATTTTAGGGAGTTTATTTCCTTCTGCCATTGTCGGCTTTACCTCCTGAGTCATCTCACCTGCTCCCATCATAGTAGTTTTGGCGAGACTAATAATATATATTAATATATCCACACCTGAGCCAGGTAGTAAGCCACAATTTCTTTTCCTCTTCATATACTTTTTGTTTTCCTGGGGTTAGTAGTTATCCTAATCTTTTTTGCTGGCTTTTTCTAAGCTCTTAGATTCATTTCAACCCCTTCCTGACCTCAAGTCAGGCTGTTGACTCTAAATAATTCCAGTCTCTATGAAAACCTATTGGCTGCAGCTGAGATTGCTGACTTCCTCCTCTTCCCTTGGTCACTCTCCAGTGACCAATTTTCTGTTTCTTGCACGCATACCAGGGCTGCATCTTCCTTTTCTGTTTCTCCCCCTGTCCCCCGTTTGTTTTTTGAGACAGGGTTTCTCTGTGGTGTAACAGCAGAACAGCTTTAGCTTTGTAGTCCAGGCTGGGCTCAAACTCGTAGAGATCCCCTGCCTATGCCTCCCAAGTCCTGAGATTAAAGGCATGCGCCACCATGGCTTATTCCCCCTTCTTTCTTTGGAGACAGAATTTTTGTAGCTCAGGCTGGCTTTGAACTCTATGTAGTTGAAGATAACCTGAATTTCTGGTCTCCTGTCTCCATCTTGAGTACTGGGCGTGTAAACAGGCACCATCAGGACTGGTTCCTGTGACCCAAGGCTTCCTGCATGCTAGGCAGACATTCTCCTAACAGCTGTCCCCACCCTCACCTCTAACGCCCTCATTTTAGCAGAAGTCGTCCTCTATAGACTCTGACGAAATAAAGATGCTGCAGGAGCTGAGATTTTGGAGGTGTTGGATGCTGAAAACCACATTTACTCCACTCTCATGGTTAACGGTTTGGATAGGATTATGTAACTTTGGAACTGGAACTATTTCCTGCAAACTTTGAAAGACTCATTCTGCTTCTAAAGTTTGTTTGTTTTTGAGACAGGATTTCTCTGTGTAGCTCTGGCTGGCCTCGAACTCACTCTGTAGACTAGGCTGGCCTCGAACTCACAGAGATCTGCCTGCCTCTGCCTCCTGAGCGCTGGGATTAAAGGCGTGTGCCACCACCACCAGGCAAGGCTCACTCTGTTACCTGTAACTTCCAGAGCTGCTTTGTAAAGTCCTAAGCTGTTTGGGCACCTAACCCTTTGGATGTAACTTGTTTTGTCTCGCTGGACTCTTCTAATGTTTAAGTTATGTATTTGTTCGGTTATTTGCTTGTTCTGTGTGAGGGGTCAGAGGTCATTTTACAGGCGTCACTTCCCTTCTTCCATTAGGGAGAGAGCACAGGCCACCCTTGGGCTTGGCAGCAAGCACCTTTACCTGCTGAACCACCTGCCAGTCCCTGCTGCTTTCATGGTCACCCAGTGACCTCTTTAGCCAGGAACCTCTATTTCTTTTCTTCAGTTCTAAGAAATATCCTTGTGCTCCTCATCTCAGACACTGTTCTATTGCTGTGAGGAAACACCATGCCAAGGAAGCTTAAGAAAGAAAATGTTTAATTAGGGGGCTTGGTTACAGTTTCAGAGGCTGCCTGAGGAGTCCAGACATAGGCACTGGATCCCCTGGACCTGGAGTTACAGATGCTGTGAGCCACTATGTGGGGGCTGGGGACTGAGCTCAGGTCCTCTGCAAGAGCAGTTAATACTCTTTACACTGAGCCATCTCTCCAGCTCCCTTATTTTAATTTAATTTTTTGAAATAGGTTTTGCTATGGAACTCAGCCTGGCTTCAAAATTGCAATTCTCTTTCCTCTGTGTTTCAAGAGCGGGGGTGACAGACATGTGCCACCACTCACACTATTAGACTTCTAATAGTCTAATGATGTCACAGATAACATAAAGGGGTTTTGGTGTGTGTCTCTATGCACATATGTATGTGTGTGCATGCGTGTGTGTGCATACATGATATAGGCCAGAGGCTGATGTTCTGTTTCTTCCTCAATTGTTCCACCATCTTTCTTTTTCTCTCTCTCTCTCTCTCTTTCTTTCTTTCCTTCCTTCCTTCCTTCTTTCTTTTCTTTTTTTTTCTTTTTTTTTTTTCAAGACAAGGTTTCTCTGTGTAACAACCCTAGCTGTCCTGGAACTTACTTTGTAGACCAGGTTGGCCTCGAACTCACAGAGATCTGTCCGCTTTTGCTTTCCATATGCTAGGACTACTATGTCCAGCCTTCCATCTTGGTTCCTTTTGTTTTGTTTTGTTTTGTTTTTGAGACTGATCGCTCACTGAACCTGAAGATCACTGATTGGCTGGATTGGCTGTCCATCAAGCCCTAGCCAGCACTGGAATTGCATGCTGCACCTGGCTTTTAAGGGGCTGCTGGGGACCCAAACTTAGATTCTTATGCTTGTGTATTTATTGATTAAACCATCTCCCCGGCCTCTCCCCTCCCTTCCCCCCTTTTTTCAGACAGGGTTTCTCTGTGTAGCCCTGGCTGTCTTGGAACTCTGTACACCAGGCTTGAACTCTGAGATCTGCTTGCCTCTGCCCCATCCGGCTACCCAGCCCCCAAAATTTAAAAATGTGGTTTGTTTACTTGACTCAAGATCCAAATAAGATCTACAAATTGTGATAGATTCCCCTCCCCTCCTTGGTTTTTCGAGACAAGGGTTCTCTGTTGCTCTGGCTGTCCTGGAACTCACTCTGTAGACCAGGCTGGTCTCGAACTCACAGAGATCTGCCTGCATCTGCTTCCAAAGTTTGTGATTAAAGGCGTTTGCCACCACCATCCAGCTAGATTGTTTTTTAAAGTCTCCTATCATTTATACTTTATTTTCTTTTTAAGATTTATCTTTATAGCTAGGTTATTTGTTTTTGTTTATGTGTATGTCTATATGTGTGTTTCTCTGTAAGCCACATTTGTGCAGCAGCCCACAGAGGTCAGAAGAGGTCAGATCCCTTGGAGCTGGAGTTCAGCACAAGCATTCTCTATCCTCAGCCGTCTCTCCTGCCCCGTCCCCTTTGTCTTGCTGTTAACTTGTCTTACAAGAGTTGTCTAGTCTACATCCTAGTGGTGTTTCTGTGATGTAGTTTATCTAGTTGTGTGTGTGTAAGATGTGAGTGTGTGTGCCTTGAGACTGGGTCTCAGGTAGCTCACGCCAGCTAAGGATGACCTTGACCTCCTGACCCTCTTGCTTCACTTCCTGAGTACTGGGGTTCTCAGGTTTGCCAGGTCAGTGAGATTGGAGACTTGGGCAGAGTCGGCTTGGATTTGCAGGTGAATGTTGCTGCCCGCCCCTCCATTGAGATATGAGGCACCTGCCTGTTCTCACCTGAGGTAAGGGCTCCTCTCATTTCAAGAATGAGATAGCATCCTCCCTCTCTGCCTAGGAATGAGATTTTCTGTGACATTTTCTTCTCTTTGAATTGTTTTTGTTTCCCCTTAGGTATTTCTGCCTTTCCTCTCCCTCTTCCCTCCCTACACCTCTTTCTCTCTCTAGTTAAAAAAAAAAAAATGGGGCCTGGAAAGATGTCTCAGTGTTAAAAAGCACTGGCTGCTCTTCCAAAGGACATGGGTCTGATGACACGGTGGCTCACAACCTTCTGTAACTCCAGCTCTAGAGGATCCATTACCCTCTTCTGGCCTTCCTAGGCATGCACAAAGTACACAGATGAACATATAGGGAAACATCCTTATACATAAAGTTAAATGTAAACAAAAATATTGTGGGGTGGTAGGGAAGTTTGGCCCCAGGGTCTCTGTTATCTTGGCCTGGCTGGCCTGGAACTTGTGTAGACCAGGCTGGCCTGGAACTTGTTGTGTAGACCAGGCTGGCCTCAAAGTCACAATCTCTCTTTCCCATTCTGGGATTAAAGGCATGTGTTAGCACACCTGGCTTGTGTGTGTGTGCAGAGAGAGAGAGCCTTACTTTGTAGCCTAGCTGGTCTTGAACTCACAGCAAACCTTCTCTGCCAGACTGGAGTGTGCGGATGTGTGTGTGTGTGTGTGTGTGTGTGTGTGTGTGAGAGAGAGAGAGAGAGAGAGAGAGAGAGAGAGAGAGAGAGAGAGAGAGAGAGAGGTATGAGTCACCACACCTGCCTTCGTCTTGTGTTATTTTCCTGTGTGGTTTAGTTTCTGTCTTTGTTGTAGTTTTACTTACAAATCAGGTGCTCCTTGGCTGTGTGCACTTACATAAAATGTGATGGTTTACACCTGTAATCCCAGCACTCAGGAGACTGAGGCAGACTGAGAGCCCAACACCAGCCTGGGCTTTGCAGCCACATCCTGTCTGGAATTTTAGAAAGCGTGAGAGAGTCTGGAGAGGTGACTCAGTGGTGAAGAGTGCTTAGTGGCAGCACTGAGGAGGCAGAGGCAGGCGGATCTCTGTGAATTAGAGGCCAGCCTGGTCTACAGAGCTAGTTCCAGGACAGGATCCAAAGCTACAGAGAAACCCTGTCTTGAAAAACCAAAAAAAAAAAAAAAAAACAACTTACTATTTTTGCAGAGGACCTGAATTTGGTTCCCAGCACCCATGTCAGACGGCCTGAGGGCATCTGAAAGAAACCTCTGGCTTCCACAGGCACGTCCACACATAAAGAAAAAGGAATAAAATGCAATATTTAAAAATATTTTTTAAAAATCTCCATAGCAGGAGGCAAGAATAGGTACATGTATCCTTTGCTGGCTTAAAAGCAAGATAGAGATGTTGTCTAGATGTGGTCACCTCACTTTACAGGTGAGGAGTTTGTGGCTCAAAGGGGTGGAGTTTCTTCTGCTGCTGTGCCCCGTAGTAACTGCACTCCATGGCTTTTAGGTGACAGTGGCTTCAGGATGATATTTTTGGATCGGGAGGAAAATTCTCTTGAGCAAATATGCTCTCCAGTTGACAGGGCCTCCAGGAACAGCCGGTCCAACACCCTCGAGCATGAGTGAGAAAAGGGGGGCTCAGAGTGGAGGAGGAACTCCCCAAGTCACGAAGCAAGTTCATACAAAACTGCCACACCACCCTTCTCTGTCACTGACTCAGCACTTGTGCTGGGTGCCATGCCTGGGACCACAGCATGGCGTGCCTGCCTGAGGAGCCTTTGTGTTGCTCCATGCCTGGGACCACAGCGCGGAGTGCCTGCCTGAAGGAGCCTTTGCGCTGCTCCATGCTGGCATCGATGCAGGCATCGAAGAGCAGGGCAGTGGGAACAGCTGACACGGTGCTCAGGGCCTGCCGCCCTGCCCTCGTTATTAGTCCATTTCAGCCCGACAGGGAGCCTGGGGGTACTGGGTCTGAGTTTTAACCTCACCTGGAACTGAGGAGTGTCCCGAGGAAAGGGCAAAGGAGAGAGTGGCGGGGGCAGGGGGTGCAGCCATGTATGCGCCGAAGGGAACATGCCAATTGACACAATCTGCTGCCTCTCTTCTCTAGTGCTCCACAGGCCCGTCCTCGGACAAGGCTTTGACCTTCATGAAGGACCATTTCCTGATGGATGAGCACGTGGTAGCAAGGCCCCTTCTGGTGAAGTCTGGTGTGGAGTACACGCAGCTTGCTGTGGAACTAGCTCAGGGTCTGGACGGGAGCAGCCATGTGGTCATGTATCTGGGCACATGTGAGTATAGGGTTCCAGAATGTACCTGTGTATCTAAAGCTGACCTTGAACTGATCCACCTGCCTCTACCTCCCAAGTGCTGGGATCACAGGTATATGCCACCGTGATCAAGTTTGGTTTTATGTAGTATGTAGATCTAACTCAGGGCTTTATGTGCTGCAGGCAAGCACTCTACCAGCTGGGATATGTTTTCAGCCCTATCATTTTTTTTAAGATTTATTTATTTATTAAGTATACAACATTCTGCCTCCATGTATGCCTGCACGCCAGAGGAGGGTACCAGATCTCATTACAGATGGTTGTCAGCTACCATGTGGTTGCTGGGACTCGAACTCAGGACCTCTGGAAGAGCAGCCAGTGCTCTTAACCACTGAGCCATCTCTCCAGCCCCAGCCCTATCATTTTTGAACAGACAGAAAAGACTAAAAGAATCCGGTGGAGAGGGTGATCCAAAGATGGCAAGAGAAGAGACGCTTGGCAGGTGGCTGGGCTGGAGATAAGGGAGCTGGTGTCTGAAAGCTTCCTGTCTTCTAGGAGACAGGAGGATCAGGGTCAGGAGCCACCAACCAGGGTGGACTCAGGAGAGAGGGCTGGCTCTAACATTGGTTCTGGAGAGAGAGAGGGACTGTTGGTTAGGGGATGTGGCTAGATTGTTACAAGTTGAGGGCACGGTGCTTTACTGTGAGAAAGCCACTGGCTTCACTCACTCTTCAGGCTGAGCTAGAAGGCACGTCTCTGCTACACCTTTGCTGAGCGTACCCCAGGAAAGACACAAACAAGGATTCCCATGCTGTGGAGTGGGTAGAGACAGGCTGTAACTGTTCTGAATGGGAACACTGCCTGGAGCTTTAGCTACAAGGTTAGAAAATCAAGGCAGAGTGAAGGGGGTCCTGCCAGGGGAGTCTGCCTTCTTAGTGACGGGTCTCATTCTGACACTCAGGGGAGGTGACAACTTGGTGCATCTCTCTCTCTCTCTCTCTCTCTCTCTCTCTCTCTCTCTCTCTTTCAGTTTTTTGAAACAGGATTTCTCTGTATAACAGTTCTGGTTGTCCTGGAACTTGCTCTGTAGACCAGACTGGTCTCGAACTCACAGAGATCCGCCTGCCTCTGTCTCCTGACTAAAGGCGTGCACCACCACCACTTGATGTTTTATTTCATTTTTGAGACAGGGTCTCACCATCTAACCCTTGACTGGCCTGACACTCACCACGCTGCCTCGAGTTTCCGGGTGCTGGGAAGCTGCAACCATTAAAAGGGTAGTCAGAAGCAGGGCTTGGTGTTGTGAGCCTGTTATCATAGTTACTTAAGAGGCTGAGGCAGGAGGATTACTCTGGGCTACAGAGTAAGACCCTGTCTCAACAAGTAAAAAGAGGGCTGGGAATGCAGCTCAAGGGGAGAGCACTTGGCAACATGTGAGAGGCCCTGAACTTAAGCCTTCGCTTACCCCAATACTAGAAAAAAAAAAAAAAAAAGAAAGAGGCTCAGTTGTGAGGACCAGAACTCAGAGGCTCAGTACCCATGGAAATGCTGGGTGCTGCCCTGAGTACCTATAAATCCAGCACTAGGGGCAGAGGGTGGGCAGATGAGTGGATTCCTGGTGCCCGTTTACTAGGCAGCCAGTCCAGACTGGTTCCAAGTTCCCTGAGAGCCCCTGTCTGAGCAAATCCAGTAGAGTGAGTCAGATAGCTAACTTTGACTTCTGTCCTCCATGTGCAGGTGTGCAAGCACACCTGGCAGGTACATACATCAAAAACACACACACACACACACACACACACACACACACACACACCCGTCGGTCCCTGGACCACAGAGGGTCTCGAGTGCCTGGCCTGCTGGGCAAGTATGTGAGGCCCTGAGGGAAGCTCCACGTTCTCTTTGTTCCCCCAGCCACAGGATCCCTGCATAAGGCTGTGGTACCTGAGAACAGCAGCGCTTATCTTGTGGAGGAGATCCAGCTGAGCCCTGAGCCCGAGCCTGTTCGAAACCTGCAGTTGGCCCCCACCCAAGTGAGAAGAGACCCGAACAGAATATGGTCTTTCTGTGGGGATGAGCTGGGGAGCCTGGGCCAGGCCGTGGGGCTCCTGACCCCCTCCATTCTCTTCCAGGGTGCTGTGTTCGCAGGCTTCTCAGGAGGCGTCTGGAAAGTTCCTCGGGCCAATTGCAGAGTCTATGAGAGCTGTGTGGACTGTGTCCTTGCCAGGGACCCTCACTGCGCCTGGGACCCTGAGTCAGGCATCTGCAGCCTTCTGTCTGGCTCTACCCCGTGAGTGTTGGTCCTGGATGGGGGCTTTCCTTACACAGTTTCTGCCACTATTCCTTCCCCTCAAGGGGCGCCAACACATTCACTCCCAGGTTCCATGCCGCTGCATCCAGTTCTAGAAGGTGGCCTTTTGCAGGGTGGTTTTGAAGGTGCCCCTGTTTCCTTCACCTGGTGGTCCTAGCCCTTCTTCCCTTTATCCTCCCTCCCCCTTCTGCTCCCACTTCTGTGTGTTGGCTCGCCTTCCTTCTCAGGCCGTGTTTGCCTTCCTTCTCAGGAGAGCCTGGAGACAGGACATGGAACAAGGCAACCCGGAGTGGGCGTGTGCTCGAGGCCCCATGCCCAGGAGCCCCAGGCGTCAGAGCCCCCCTCAACTTAGTGAGTGTGGGCTGGGGGAGGTGCCAAGGATGGACTGGAACCTGACTGTGGATAGGAGAAATCCTGAGCTGGAGCTGCACTAGGATCCAGGTTGAGGTGGTTGTGGGTTTGGTGTCTGTGTTGGAATTAGGAATACTGGAGGCTTGCCTACAGCCACCCACGCCATGCTGGGCCGTGCACAGACCAGATCTTGATGATTTCAGAAACTAAGGGTTGGATCTGGTTAGACGTTAGCTGGGAGAAAGACAAGGGGAAGGAAAGGAGGGTCTAGTTTGAGTCTAGCTTGGAGACAGAGCCTTGAGTTTGGGGGTTGAAATGGAATCAGAAGACAGCCGGGTATGGTGGCTCACACCAGTAATCCTAGCCGTCAGGGTTGTCAAGAGTTCAAGGCCAGCCTGGGGCCAGATGCACGTAAGGCTGTCTCTCCCTCCCTTCTTCCCTCCTCCTGAATGTGTCATTCTTTGCTGCCCTTCAGTTAAAGAAGTCCTGGCAGTCCCCAACTCCATCCTGGAGCTGCCCTGCCCTCACCTGTCAGCCCTGGCATCTTACTACTGGAGTCACGGCAGAGCCACGATCCCAGAAGCCTCTTCTACCATCTACAATGGCTCCCTCTTGCTGCTGCCTCAGGATGGTGTTGGGGGCCTCTACCAGTGTGTAGCCACTGAGAACGGCTACTCATACCCTGTCGTCTCCTACTGGGTAGACAGCCAAGACCAGTCCCTGGCCCTGGATCCTGAACTAGCAGGCGTTCCCCGGGAACGCGTGGAAGTTCCACTGACCAGGGTTGGTGGTGGAGCGTCCATGGCTGCCCAGCGGTCCTACTGGCCTCACTTTCTCATCGTCACCGTCCTCTTGGCCATAGTGCTCTTAGGAGTACTCACCCTCCTCCTCGCTTCCCCACTGGGAGCGCTACGGGCTCGGGGCAAGGTTCAGGGCTGTGGGACACTACCCCCCAGGGAAAAGGCCCCATTGAGCAGGGAACGGCATCTCCAGCCCTCCAAGGACTATAGGACCTCTGCCAGTGACGTCGATGCTGACAACAGCCATCTAGGCACTGAAGTGGCTTAAACTGAGGGCACAGATGGGAACTGAGCAGGGAGAGCCCCTGGTCTGGTGCCTGAGTCTGGCACAGTGCCACCCCGACTAGGGTGAAGGCTTTCCTGCTATTGTGTGTCACCTGCAGCACCCAGTAGGGCCTCCCCTAGGGGACTTTCTTCTGTAAGCACATGGACTGTCTCCACGCCTGTACCCATGCCAGGACAGGAAGAACCAGATGGGAGTCTTCAGTCTTGATCAACCAACCCCAAGAGCTTCAGGAGACCCTGAAGCTGTGGCTGTCCAGGATTCCGTGGTGACACACCCGAGCATGTGAGCAAGCTGGGGTGGTTCCTGCAAACTTCATCCTGCAAGCTGCCACTCTGGAAGCAGCTGCTGCTTTGAAACACCAGCCCTCCCTTCTCCTGGGATCGCCAAGATTCTTTGGGAGCTGGCCCCCTGTGCTTCCCTGTACCAATCACGCCCTACTGCTTGGGAAGTCTTTTCTGAAGTCTGACCACCTTCTTGTTTCAGTTTAAACAGGTTGTTACTGTCTCTGCCCTGACTGGAATGGCGGGCATAATCTGAGCCTTGTTCTCTTGTCTAGTGTGGTTGACCCCTTGAATTCCTCCTTCCTTGTCCCTTTGTTTTGGGATTCAGAAAACTGCTCGTCACAGACAATTTATTTTTTATTAAAAAAGATACAAGCTTTAAGCAAGGCTGCTGATGTCTTTGTTGTGGCTGAGTTCCCACCAGGGTAGCCTGTGTGGAGGTCGAGGTTTTTGGGTGGGCTCTGCAGCTCCTGCCTGCGAGCCCCAGCCTGCCCCAGGCAGGGCTAGGACTGTGTGGACCAGCCTCAACTGTGCCTGCTAGACACTGGCTGCCACATCTGCTGTCCCCAGGACTCCTACGCTCATCATGACTCTGGTTCAGCTCTGCCCCACCCCCACCCTGGCCCATTCCGTCTGCACTGCTGACAAGACTCACTCTACCCACACCTCCACACTGCCTTTTCCTCCCTCTGCCAGGAAGTCACACTCTGGCCTGCATCTGAGGCTGCCTACCCCTCTGTCCTGTAGGGGGAACTCCCAGCAGGCCTCCACCTCACCTAACTGGCTCCCTCCCTCTTGACTACAGGTATACACACACACACACACACACACACACACACACACACACACGCACGCACGCACGCAGTGAATAGGGGTAGCCACCTGTGATCTCAGCACTCAGGAGGCAGAGAGAGGCAAGAGAAGCAGCAGCTGAAAACCAGTCTTGGCTACATAGTGAAACTGAGGCCAACCTGAGCTACAAGAATCTAAAAACACCCAAACCAAAAAGTCATTAACTTTCCCCATAACTCTACCTCCTCATCTATACTTGGTTTCCCTCTCCTATGACCACTGAACACCAAAGAGGGTCCACCATAGTCCCCCTTTGTCCCCTTCCCGAGTTCTCTTAACCCCTGTGATACAGCCCTCCCTACACTGTTCGGAAGATCGATTGTTCTGTCTTAACAGCAGAGCAGCGGCTTTGACCTCTGCTCAGCCACTGCCACAGTTGCCCCTTCCTCACAATCTTCTACTGTAGAGTTTTTTTTTTAAATATTTATTTATTTATTATGTATACAATATTCTGTCTGTGTGTATGTCTGCAGACCAGAAGAGGGCAGCAGACCTCATTATTGTGAGCCACCATGTGGTTGCCGGGAATTGAACTCATGACCTTTGGAAGAGCAGGCAATGCTCTTAACCACTGAGCCACCTCTCCAGCCCCTACTGTAGAGTTTTTAATAAGCTTTCAGAGCCAGTGAGATGTCTCGGTGGCAAAGGCACTTGCCACCAAGCCTGTTGACCTGAGTTCAACCCCTGGGACCCACATGGTAGACTCATGCTGTAGTGCCTATATGTCCATACACATAAATGAATAAATGTAAGATGAGAATTTGTTGTTTTTACTTGTGGGGGCTGGAGAGATGGCTTAACAGTTAAGACCACTGACTGCTCTTCCAGAGATCTTCCAGAGAACTGGGGTTCAATTCTCAGCACCTCACACCTGTCTATGACTCCATTTCCTTATGACACCTTCACACAGACACACATGCAGGCAAAATACCACGAACATAAATTTTTTTCTAAGAAACCAAAAAAATGAACAACAATGTTTCACCCCCGTCCTCTCCCTGGCATTTACCACTCTGCTGCTGCTTTTTCTTTTTCAATTAAATTTTATTTATTTTACTTGTGCGGCAGGGAGTGGGGCACGACTGTGCCGGGGCACATGTGGGGAGTTCCCGCCTTCCATTAGGCATGTTCTTGGGATGGAAGTCAGACTGCCAGGCTAGGCAGCAAGCACGGTGATCTACTGAGCCATCTCGACCACTTGGGATTCTTATTTTCCTTAGATTGATTTTACTCATATGAGTGTCTTACCTGTCATATGTCTGAGTGCCACATGCATGCCTAGTCCCTGAGGAAGTGGTGAGCCTCCGTGTGGGTGCTGGGAATCGAACCTGGGTCCTTCACAAGAACACCACCGAGCCAGCTCTCCAGCCCCAGGATCCCATTGTGTGTATCTAATCCCTTTTCTGTCTCCCTTTACCCCAGGCAGAGATCTGGGTTGCTTTTGCCTTTGGTTGTGGTGAATAACAGTGTTGCAGTGGAGAGAAGTTACACTAAGACTCTGATCCTGTCCACTATGGTTTTGTTTTGGTTTTAGATTTATTTGTATGTGTCTGTGTAGATGCATGGGTGCCTTAGGAGGCCAGAACAAGGTGTCGGATAACCTGGAATTGTAGTTGTAGTTGTGACCTACCTGATGTGGGCGCTGGAACTGAACTCTGGTCCTCAGTAGAACAGCAAGTGCTCTTAACACAGAGCCATCTCTCGGGCTCCTGGTTGTTTTGTTTTTGGGGGCAGGGTCTCTTTATGTAGCCCTGGTTGTCCTGGAACTTACTATGTAGAATAGGAAGGCCTGGAACTCAGAGATCTGCCCACCTCTGCTTCCCCTGAACTGGAATTAAAGGTGTGCTCCAGCTGTTCGTTTTTATTGGAGCAATTCAGCCTCTCTCTTACCCCTTTTCTCCCTGACACTCAACCAAAGGCCCTGCTTTCCCACCCTGACCCTTTTCCAGCCAGTCCTGTTGCTCCCAAGACTCTAGAACAAGGACCTCTCTCCGTGGAACCTGGGGAGGGCTCCTGGGCTTCCCTTCCTGTGCTGTTCGGGAACTTGTGTAGGTCTTCTCGCTTGACCCCTTCAATTTCTGCAGCTGTTGATTGACAGAATGGACAAGGAAACAGTCACCTCTCCAGCATCATGATCCCTCGCTGCCCCAGAGCCCAGCTTCCTTCCATGCTCCATCTGGCCCTCACTCATCCAGAGGCTTCCTGAACTTTCCCTGAACCATTCCCTGCAGTGGGTGATTCCAGGGGAACACCTGGAAAGCTGACAGAGCATTGCTTCCATGAGCGTCTGTGAGGCTGTTTCTAGAGTAGACAGAGCCTGGCTGGGAAGAGCCATCTTTGGTGTGGCAGGCACTGCCCATTGTCCTTCCCGACTCCAGGATTTACACCAGGGCCCCAGCTTCTTAGACTCAAGTGGAGAGTCACACCATTAGCCTCTTTGGTCCTGAAGTTTTAGGACATACTGAGCCACTCTGCATGCATCGTGGGGCTCCAGCTTACAAGTGGCCGGTCATGGGATTCCTCCGCTTCCATAATCACGGGAGCCAATTTCTCTTACCCTCTATCCATCCGGCACCTGTCTGCTGGCTACCAACAAATCTACCCATTCTTCTATCTGCCCTTTATTCAGTCTGTGTTTGGAGAGCCAAGACTGATGCCCCCTTTTCTCCCCACTTCCTTCCTCAAGATGATACACAACACTTAGCTCTTCCACTCACTGTCCATGATACTGGGACTGCTCCATGTTTCAGCTACTGGAATCAATGCTGTTCTGAACCCAGAAATATAAATATGATATAAATGCTCCCAATTCTTTTGATCATACCCAGACACAGACCTAATGGATCATACTTGGAAGGATGCTTTGTTCCTCACCACTTCACACAAAGGCACCAGTTTCTCCACACTTTTTCCCCAACACTTATTCCCACCGCCCCCCCCGATTTCTCAGAGCCATTCTGCTGTGGAATATTATTTTAAGGTGTGTTACATTTGCTTACGCTGTGGAACATTTGTTTAGTGAAGCAAAGATGTGCTGCATTTTTTTATGTTGCATTTGTTTAACTCTGTGAAGCTGTTTCATTGCCTGTCTAAAATGCCTGACTGGTCAAATAAAGAGCTGAACTGCCAATAGCAAGGCAGGAGAAAGGGTAGGAGGGCTGGCGAGCAGATCCCTCTATTATATATGAGATCCCTGTGTTCTGTATCTCGATGAGAAGAAGGAGAGATCTGGGAGGGAAGAAAAGGATCAAGGAATGAGAGAAGGACGACTCCAGAGGCCAGCCACCCAGTCACACTCAGACACTCAGACATGGAGGAAGAGGGAAGAAAAGATATACAGAAATAGAGAATAGCAAAAGCCTAGAGACTAAAGATAGATGGGATAATTTAAGTTAAGAAAAGCTGGCTAGCAACAAGTCAAGTGAAGGCCAGGCATTTATGACTCAAAATAAGACTCCCTGTGGTGTTGGTGGCACATGCCTTTAATCGGACGGCACTCAGGAGGCAGAGGCAGGCAGATTTCTGTGAGTTTGAGGCCAGCCTGCTCTAGTTCCAGGACAGGCTCCAAAGCCACATAGAAACCTTGTCTCAAAAAGAAAAAACAAAAACAAAACAAAACAAAAAACCCAAAAGAGTAAAAAAGTTAAAAACAACAACAACAACAACAACTATGCCATTCTAGTAAGATAAGATAAGATGCCTCATTGTGGGTTTTTTAAGATTTAGAAGTTTTTATGTGCATGAGTATTTTCCCTACTTGTATGTATGAGCATGCGTACATGTATGTTTGTGCATGCCTACATGTATGTGTGTGCACCACCTGCATGCCTGGTGCCTGCAGAGGCCAGAAGAGGGGTCAGATCCCTTGGAGCTGGAGTTCCAGGTAGTTGAGAGCTACTTCGTGGGTCTGGGAACTGATCTGAGTCACCTCTCCAGCCAGCTTCGGCTTAGGGCACACCTACCAAGGGGCTCACAGATGCTTGTAAACCCAGGTCCAGGTTTCTGACGCCCTCCTCTAGTTTGCTTGGGGACCTGCACTCACATGTGCAAATACACAAACACACACACACACTGGTGGGCACGAGCTTAAAATAAGTAAACAGAGGCTGGAGAGCTGGCTCAGGAGTTAAGAGCATTGCCTGCTCTTCCAGAGCACCTGATTCTGATCTCAGCATAAGTGTTGGACACAACAGCCCAGCTCCAGGGGATCTGACACTCTCTTCTGGCCTCTTCAGGTACTGGCGCGCACACACACACACACACACACACACACACACACACACACCTTTAAAAAAATCTTTAAAAAAAGCCAAATGGGAGCCGGGCGGTGGTGGTGCACACCTTTAATCCCAGCACTTGGGAGGCAGAGGCAGGCGGGTCTCTGTGAGTTTGAGGCCAGCCTGGTCTACAAGAGCTAGTTCCAGAACAGGAACCAAAAGCTACTGAGAAACCCTGTCTCGAAAAATCAAAAAAAAAAAAAAAAAAAAAAAAAAGCCAGATGGGGGCTGGAGAGATGGCTTAGAG